TCATCAACTAAATCACCACATGTACGACATGTATTTTTAATTTGAGAACATTGTTTCTTGAAATGCCCCAGTCCCATACATTTTGAACATATGAGAACTGTTGCTGGTGCTAAGTACTCAGTAATATCATAAGCAATGTATCCAATAATAATTTTTTTTCCATTTAATAATTCTTCTCGTACACTAGATGAAATAAGTTCAAGTTTAACTAATTTAATATAACTTTGAAATTTATTTTTCATTCTAATCACATTTTTAACAGATGGGTAAAGTAATTTGATTTCCGAACAAAAATCTTCAAAGTCCAAATTAAGATCAACATTCTTAACTATCAATGATAATTGAGGAGGAATCATCTGGTCAGACGGAAAAGCATAATTCACTTTATTAAAAAAATTAGGCCAATGTTTCTGATCCAATAAGAATGAGTAAGAATAAGAATCCTTTACAAAAAGAAGAATATCATAATCATTCTTTGAGCTAATGTTTGATAAACGACAATTTAAAATGTTAATTTCGGTTTGAAATACATTTTTACAATGAATCAGTAATTCTTCTTTAACTTGTTTAGGTAAAACATTACCAGCAATAAATTTATATTTTTCTCTTTATTTTTATACAAGTTTCAATGTTATTACTAAGGATCGAGATGTAAAAACTTGAAGGAATATTTGCGTACCTGGACAAAATTAGATACCAAAGTTCGATCATTTTTGAATTTTTTATAAACAAAGAAAACTAATTTTTCTAAAAGGATCCAAGAATCTCTTTCTTTATTCTACTATTTTCTTGTATCAATTAGTATAGATTTATGTTATGACTCTTGAAATAAAATTCACTGCATCATTTTTAAATCTATGTTAACTCTTTGATATGCGAGTCCTACTAAATAGAAATCTATACTTTATGTATTTATCTACCATTGTAATAGTAGTCAATAAGATAAAATAAAAATTGTCTTCATTATAACTTGATGAGAAATTATTACACCTTACTATGTTGTTACTTTTTATCTCATCACAAATTAAATCAGTTAGAAAATCGCTCTAGAGAAAAAGAAATACTTAGAACAATCCAAAAACAATGGCCATCCTATCATATTTTCGTACCAGTAGTGGACAATTGAACTTGTTGATGCAGGAAGTGTTTCGTCCCACACAAAGTCACACATATTATAGACAAATGGAAAGGAAGAAAAATATATATGTACGGATGAATGATTTCTCCTTTGAAAATATCTATTTCTACTAGAAATTGTCCTTAAGGCCTCCACCACCTCAACAAATTCACTTTTCGTCAAAATCATGGAAACTGAGGTAAATAGATAGAAAGATAGTCTGTCATTTGGTCTTTCATAAATGATAAAAATTTTTCTTCGATATCTCTTTTTTTCTGAAAAATTCTCAAGACTTTTGACAAGTCCTATTCGAAAAAACCAGTGGTTTTTAAGAAAATCCAAAATCTTTTTTATTTTTTTCTCAAAGCTGCAGTCGAACGACGCAGCCCCTAAAAAGTTCAATTATAATCAGATATAAAGTCAAAGATTTCGCTTTGTTTGAAAGAGCATGTCAGGATGCAGCGCCTGTGAGAGCCCTTTTTTGATAAAATTTTCTTATTCCTATATTGAAAAGCGATTTTTATAATTTAAGCATGATTTTTTTGAGTGATTGAATTTGTGAAGCCTTCTTTCTTATAAGAGATAAGAATTTTAAAACAAGGCCCCTCACAGGCATTGCATCTTGATATGTTCGTTCAAATGAAGAAACAATGAATCATATTGAATGAACACTCATAGAGAATTTAGGGAGCTGTGATAAGCTGTTTTTCGACCCCTCTTTTTGGTGCATATCTACTTTATACATCAGGATATGAGGCTGAAAACTTTATCATAGATGTCGTTTTATAGGTCCAACATATCGTCAAAGTTTCATGGCATCTCGATATTCGTGAGCTGAGATCAAATTTTGAGAGAAGTCTTAAGATGAAAAAAAAATTATCCATTTCTCTCTAATTGTTTTGGATCTCTGCTTTACATTGAGATATGGGCAAAGGATTTCTCTCTGAAAAATAACCATTTATAATAGAAACCTCCCTTAAGATGAAAAAGAAATTATAAAAAGCGTTTCCTTCTAATTTTATGTGATCTAAGCATCTCTTCTTGGGATGGAAAAGTTTCTCTTTGAGCAGGGGAAATGATCCAGCTCTCCTTGAATTTTTTTAATACTTCTCTCCTATCATTTCTAACTTATCTTATCAGAAAGAGAAAAAATCAACTACAACAAAAATATACAATAAAATATATCATCATTTAATACATTAAAGCATTTAGCGCATCTGATTATGGAAACATATAATCATCTTATCCCAAATAAATATATATTAACTAAATGTTTATTATTTATTTCAAAAGCACTTTATTTATTAACTGATTTGGAAGGAATTTGTTATGTATATTATTTAGAAAGATAATATATGAAAATCTTTAATAAATAGAAAAGACTTTTTTTTGTTTTACATTCGTTGTCTTCGACATTGAAGTACTATTTAAAAATGAACCGATGCCTTAGAAGAGACGAATGATTGGCACTATCTATTAATTTTTTAAAAAGCTAGAATTAATTACAAAGTAAAAAAAGTTTTTTCCTCAAAAAGAATCGTATTTCAATATATATTTTTACCTAACATACCAAAATGTTAAACTTGTTCTGTGGTCTTAAGATCAGCAGAATTTTGTAGTTTGGTGATATTTGTAGAATTTATTTGGATACTTATTAACTTAAATGTTGCATTTAATTAAATCTAGAAAGATATATTTAAGAAGATCTTTCGTAAAAATGTAAATAATTTTCGATCAAATTTCATGATTTTACGATATGCAATTAGCATCAACGAAACGAAGAAATTTCCATCATACATGAATTTTACATTATTTGTTATTCAGTAAATTACTATACACTTACAACTAATCTTTTCTACTGTTGAATATGTTATTGTACTTAGAAATATACAAAAGTTCTTTTCACATTGTAACCAGTCGTCATTTAATTTCATGTGTTTTCGTTTAATCAAATATATTCTTCATTTAACGAGAAAGCATTTACTCTTTTATATCAATGATAAAATATATTGATATGCACAGGTGATACAGAGTTATCTTAACTTTGATTCATTCAAAACAATTAAATTTCTTCTGATAAAGTACAATTTTTTCTATCATAAAAATTCGATCACAAATAAAAATCTTCATTGTTTGCTCAATAACATACCAAAAAAGAATATTTTATATTGACATTATCGGTTAGAAAAAAAATTATCGATTTATCGAAACAAAAACACAATCTCAATGCACACTTTTAGAAAAATATTTTTCATTGAGAAAATACTCTTAAAAACTTGATAATAGTTATTCTTGTTGTATAATTAATCATAATGTTTGAGACGTTGTTAGTACTGACATTCTAATAACACTAATCTGTCTTATTAATGTTAGTTGTATAGTAATATATCTCTAAACAATATCAACAAAAAAAACTATTCAATGAAATTAAAATTTCTAAGTTACAAAACGTTTAAATCGCAACAAAAAGTAATCATATGCATATACAAGAATATTCAGCTTTATTAAATTGATTTTTTTGAATGACTTAAACAGAGATACATTAAGTTATAATTTATGAATCTTTTAAACAGAATCATTTATGAAAGATTTAATAAAACTCACTATTTTAGACAAAAACTATAATAATATTTGACATATTAGTAGTTTTATTTATAAATATTGTTATTGATTAATTAGTTTCGAATGAAACACATAATAATAAGTTTAATTGCTTTAAAGAATTTATTTTAATAAGTTTCGATTAAAAGAAAAATTCAGTACATGGCCTTCAATAATTTATGTTATCATAAAATATATATTTTACGGAGAATATGTGGATCTTTATTATACAAAAAAAAAAAAAAAACAAATCAGATAAAAATCCAATAAAAAAAAAGGTACATTTCATCGAGATCACAAATTTATCACTTAAATTGATTGTTTTTTTTTATCATCACACAGGTTACACACATAAAACAAAATAAAAGTTTAAATACTACATGTTCTCACTTAAATAAATAGATTGGTATTGATATTTCCAAATTTTAAGATGCACATGTCGTATGATAGTATAAAATATTTGAAGATTATATATTGTCGATACTATTGCATAGTTTTCGATTCATTTTCATATATTTAAATACTTTTCAATAAAAAAAGATCACGAAGGAATGCTTAAATAAAGAAATTGAAACCTCAGCGAACCCACCCTCCTCAAAAAATAGTAATAAAAGTTGTTGATATACTAGTATCTATCTTATTCTAATATCTAAACTACGATCTGATACATTTCTGAAAGACTAACCAAGAAAATAATTGGAAAATGGTTTCGAAAAAAGATGGAAAGAAGCATACTCTTCGTAATTCACATTAATAACGACATCGTATTGTACAGAAAAGTGTCAACTTAAGGAAAGACTTCGTGAGATTTGTTTTTTTTTTAATATGTTCTCTCAAAAAAGTGGAAAATCAAGCTATCTACAATAAATAAATGTAGATAACACAGATTACTATCTTAATTGTTTTTAACAGTCCATAAATCGGAGATAACTGTAATCAATAATACATGCTCTTTTTCGTCTATCGCACTAATACATTTCGAAGACTAGTAAATGACTCGAATTTAACAAAAATATTTGTCAAAATGATTCATTATTCAGGAAAGAAAAAAAGTATCTTCAGCTGGACACTATCATACCAATATACGCTTAAAATACCCTATGGAAATTCAATGTGATGAAAGAAAAATTCATTTTTTTTGAGTGGAACGAGGATCTTTAAATCTTTTCAAGCTGAAAAGATAAATTAAAGAACATATAAAAATGAATCTCGAATAAATAAACATTTTATATGTCTTGATTAAATTACTTATATTTTGAATTACATAGATAATAAAATGCCTTCTTAGTTGATACTTGTTTCACTTGAATCAACATCGGAATCAATAGCATTTGTTTGTTTTTGATCTAGTATAGTTACTCAAACTATAGCACTTGTTGTTATTTGATTATCATCTTCAGATGAAACAGAAACATTTTCTTGAATTTCCAACACTTCATCACATAATACAAATATAGAAAAAAGAAACAAAAAGAAAAATATATTTCATTAAATTAATTAGATTATATCTTACCTGTATCTCTTCTCGTATGTTCTTCGTCAGCACCATTTATTTGGTTTATTTGATCATTAGTTTGAGCATGATAATTGACATTTTGAGTATTTTTTATGATTTCATCTAAGAATTATAATTGTATTTAAATTAAAGAAGAAAAGAATACAAAATTTATCTAATATACTTTCTTTTTCATTTTCATTAGTTGAATCATATTCATCATTGCTTTCAGAACCATTTTCTGAACCAATAATTGCATCTAAACAATACATATATTAGATCAAGTTTATATAATGAAACAATTATAAATTTTTTTATAAGAAAAAAAAATCAAATATACCTTCTTCTTCACTACTGTTATTGGAGTGAGCATCGTGATCTGACTCAATTGAATCTACAGTATTTATATTACCTTTGAAATAAAAGAAAAGAAAAATATACAGCATAATATTCTTATGTCAAAAATAGTTTTTAACTTCCAAGTTAAATTATCAAAAACAGTTTCAGATACATTATTATTATTTAGATATAAAACATTTTCACCTAAATATTTATATGAAATAGTATTTTGTTAAAAAAGCATTAGAATTAGAATGAAAAAAAATTCATACCTGGATGTAGATTTTGAGGGATGATATCTTCATTCGTATGAGTATATAAAGTTCCATCTTCATTAACATGTCCATTTCCATCAACTATGATGCAAAATGTATTTTGATTATTATTAAGATTTGTTAGACTTCCTTCATCATGTAGTTGAGCATTTGAAACTCCAAATGGTTCATCATCAGCATCTAAAAATCAACTTTTAATATTTATAAGTAAAACATTTATAACTATTTACTAATAATAGTACTAGAAAACACAAATTCTTCAATAAATATTCAAAAATAATATAATAAAATTAAGTTCATAGTATCTTTTGTTTTGCGGCAAAATCTAATCAGCTAAAAACAAATACCTTCAAGTGTGATATCACCTGTAGTGGTAGAGCGAGTGTTGGTATTTTCCTTAATAACATCCACATCCTATACCGTGTGGCAGTTGGATTTTATTACGAATTTTTGTTTATTAAACCCTAGAAACGGGAAACACATTTAAAGGATTTGTGTGTGAATAAATTTATAATTACCTTAGATATATCTCTTTGAATATGGCAATGAGTTAAATAGTAGTTGAGGAAATAGATCTATGATTTCTTATATGTTTTTGTACTCTGAATAACTGTCAAGTTATTGGAATGAGTAGGACACCAAAAGCATCATTAGAAAAACCCAGTGGTGGAGATAAACTAGTGCAATTAGTTCAGCACCATTTCCCAATACTTATACCTCCAACATCGACAAAACAAGACTCATGAAAACAGTGTGTGGCTTGTACAAATACTATGAGAAGAGCTAAGAAGAGGGCTAAATCTAGATATGAATGCGCCAAATGTAATGTTGGTCTTTGTGTATATCGAGCTGTTTTCGAGATTATCATACACTTTTAAATAGTTTTAGATGTTTGTGCTTTACATTGATGGAAATAAATATATACTTTGAGAGTTTTGAAAATCTTCATTTTTTTCATACAGTCACTCCGTCCTCAAGAGATTATTTTGATTTTGTCGCAAAACTAAACACCCCAACATATAAAAATTAATCAATATTTCTTCTTTTCAAATCGATTATTTTGTGTATTCGATATAAAATAACAATCAATGA